CCATTTCTTCACAAATCTATAAAATTACCCAGTCCATAGATTTTATTCATTATAGCTTAACACAAATTTTCAATGAAATATATTTCACATTAACCTAAATTCCACTTTGTGTATACCAAATGCCTTTGCAAACACAGATATTAGTTTATAAAAGTAGCAGTAACATCATCACTGTGCCATACATAGAGCAGAGCTGTGGGAGTGGCTCAGCTGGTCCGCCCACTACAGGCTCCCTGCAGAAAACTACAGAAGTGGGCAAAGACAAGACCTGTCACCCTGCAGAAGAAGAGTTAGGCCTCATGCTCATGGTTTACTGTAAAAGCTGTTTCTCCTAACAGGAGAAAATCAGCGTTAAAAACGTACCTAAGATGCGTTTTTTTTCTTTTTTCAAACCAGTTTAGCAGTGTTTGGCTGTTTGTTTCATTGGCCAGAATCTTAAAGCGGAGTTCCACTCACACTGTCAAAAAATAAAAGTCAGCAGTTACAAAAACTGTAGCTGCTGACTTTTAAAAAAAACAGCCACTTACCTGTCCCTCGGTGTGTGCCCTGCAGCCAATTTCACCGGCCGTCCTGTATTCCAGGAGGCCGGCATCTTCAGTGTGGGCATCCGGCTGTGATAGCTTGCGGCTTCACTGCTGGGTACCCACTGCGCATGCATGAGTAGCGCTGCATGAATGGTCCTGTAGTCTTCTAGGACCTGTCATGTGTCCCAAAAGACTACAGGAAGGGAGGGAGGACACCTTCCGCTTCCAATCGCCTAGGCTCATGGACCGGAAGTGGGAGAGGGTACCTGTCAAATTCAGGTGCCCATTCCCCCCGCCCCCCAAAAGGTGCAAATCCTTAAGAGGGAGCAGTCCTTAAAGCAGAACTTCCCCTTTTGGGTGGAGCTCTGCTTTAATTTATTCTGGCTATTCAAATTAATAAACACTGAAGTGCTTAAATGCGCCTAGGTGCGTTTGACATTTTTAAAGCCCAAAAGCTTGTCTCCTGTATGCGATTCTTCTGCATTCAGGAGAAAAAGCTTGGCTGCCTTTAACCACTTACCTACCGGGCACTTTTACCCTCTTCCTGCCCAGGCCAATTTTCAGCTTTCAGCACTGTTGCAGTTTGAATGACAATTGCACGGTCATGCAACACCGTGCCCAGATCACATTTTTCTAATTTTTTTTTTTCACACAGAGCTTTATTTTGGTGGTATTTAAATCGCCATTGGGATTTTTATTTTTTGCACTATTAACAAAAAAAGGTTTTCTTTGTTTCTATTATAACATTTTGCACACAGGTAATTTTTCTCCTTCACTGATGTGCGTTGATGAGGCGGCACTGACAGGTAGCACTGATATGCAGCAATGATGGGCAGCACTGATAGCACTGTCTGGAAGCACTACTAGGCGATGATAATCAGTGCCCTGATTATCAGTGCAGATCACATTTGCCAGTTATCGACAGTACTTTCCTCATGCTGTGATATTTTTGTTCCTTTTTTTGTACTTTCTGAAAACTCAAAATCCTTTAAAGGGAGAATAAAAAAAAAAAAAAAAACTTTTTTTTTTTTCTTAAGGGCAGAAAAATGCAGGCTACGGTTTCTGACCATTCTTTTTGAAAATACGAGATTCCTGACTGTCATACCAATGCTCTGACTTAAAAAAATTTAACATGCATTTGTTATATGGTTTAGGCCTATGCCTGAGGAAAATATCAAAGACAAAACAGTGAGGCAAGTAGCATTTTTTAGATATAAATGGCAGTAATAATATTTCTCTGAAGACCGATAGACAACACAACATGCAATATAAACAAACAGGCTCATGGTTTTATTCTAAAGCTGGTTATAGATACAAAAACAGAGGTGAATGTATGTATCGACATCTCCACAATTTATTCTGAACAGATGTGAACATGCATGCTGCTAATGACCGAACAGACATGTTTACACTCTGAACAGCGTTTCTTTTTCAACTTTACGGCCATGTCAGTCATGGGACTAGACTTGTTCTCTTTTCCAATGGAGTCACTACCTCGATAGCCAGACAAGCAAAATGTTGCTCTGTGGATGCTCTCTGCCTTAGCAAGTGGTGCTCTGCAGTGGTTTGGCCCAATGAGGGAATGTTTCCATTAATGGAAATGGTTCCCTTGTATAGGCGATTCCTGCCACCACTTGTGAGGTGTCTGACAAGGTCTTTGTCATGGAATACTAGGCTTGGCCAATTGATTATCCCCCACCTCCACTGTGGGATATAAACTTCTCCATCTATTTATGGACATATTTAAGCCGTAGAGGTTTTGTGGTTGCAGCAGGTGTTCTATCAGCTTGGCCCATTCAACTCAGAAGACTAAAGGCTGCTTTTGCACTGACCTTTTTTTTTTTTCGTTAAGAAAGCAAGAAAAATTAATGACCATTAAATCCTATGGACCTCTTCACAATGGTCAGTTGCAGGTCTGTTGCGCTTTTTTTAAAGTCCTGCCTACTGCATTTTTTGGTACATTTGGTGAGGTAAACTAAAAAAAAAAAACAAAAAAAAAACACACCTTCCCATTTAAAAGAACGGAAAGCACATCAAAAACGCATCTGCAGTTGTGTTGTTTCAATTTTACTTTCACAGGTGCAAAACCGCACCGGAAACACGCCAAAAACACGTATGTTGTTTTACTGCATTTTTGCAAGAGAGCAGTGTAAAAGCAGCTTAAGGAGATACTGCAAGAGCAGGGCATCATGGACTTGCCTCTGAGGGGACATCATCAGCTTGCTCTAGAATCACAGTGAAGTTTCCCAAAATTCTGCTCAAAATTCATATCCTCTATACACAACATTGGGTGCAGGTTCTCTTACAACTTGCCTTATGAGAGAAAGATAAATCTACTGTAAAGGTTTCCAGTACTGGAATACCCATCTGAGCTCTTCCTAGTTCTACCCATCTAAGGTCTTCCTAGATCTACAATAAATGCAGTGGAATTACTCATAGGAAAGTATTACAGAGAGCAATACTAACATCACATCAGAACTGCATGATACATCACTGAGGACCAAGCCCTGCCAGGGAAGATCTAAAAAGAAGAGGACCCAGCAGGTAATACAACTGGCCTGAGTACATCTAGAGAAGGTTCCTTTTACTCTTTTTATATACAGTATATTTTAAGAAACAAAAAATACATGCAGGGGGGACTCTGGAGGGGAGAGGGCAGGGTTGAGCTTTAGGTCTTAAGATGGTAGAAAAAAAAAAAGTCTTGAATGATTCCAAAAACAAGGTCTTTAATGTTGCATGTAAACTCAAAAAAACAAAAACAAAAAAAAAACTGGACAATTAATATGACATCTGTGAGAAGAGAAAAAAAAAATTAAGAGCAAGTATAGTAGAAATGGCCCTTTTCATCCCACTCCAAAATTTCAGGGGTTATTGGACCATCTTCAGCAATCAGTGAAATGGTTTTTTTTCCCAGATACTACAATAAATATAATTAACAAAACTGGAGGAACAGATTGGCAAACTAAGGGGTTCTTTAATGACATGTAGGCTCGACACTTGTGCCACAGAATAACACCAGTGTAGGTTGAAAACAAAATCCTGGTAATACGGGATGTCCTATTAAACAATGAATTAGAGAGTAATATACAGAACCTGTCCTTGACCTGCTTATAGCTCAGATATGGAAACAACCAAAGACATTTAATGATCCGAGACAAACGGCATAATATGTGCTGCATCCACATGAGGCAGATGTTTGTTGCTCGTTAAAGTGCTGCTCCTTTATGGCATTTCCTATAACTTAAAGGTAAGACAGAGAAACTATCCACAGTAAATATTATTACCCATCATTCAAAATGGTCAGCACAAGCCTTGAAATACCCATTCTTTCACTAGAGGGAATGCTATCATCAAGTGATAAACATTGCCGCCAACCGTATAACAGTTGTAGCCACACCCCCATGAAATAAGAAAAATTGGAACTGTTTTGGCACAATGGATATTTCAAATATGTCCACAGGCACAACTGAACAAAACAGGTAATGGATACTATTTACAAATTTTAGGATTTCGCTGTCCTATCTTATATCATCACATTGATGAGAAAGGCAGTGTTACACTTTAAAGTGGTAAAAAGCTTTTGATTGGATATCAGAGACTATAAAAATCATCAGAAGATTGAACTCTGACTGATAAAACAGAGTCGCAGATAAAGTAAGGAGTGGGCATGACCTTCAAACATCTGCTGGTTACATGGAGGTAGCGACATGGAATTCTGATATATGCAAAAACATGACCCGTTCAAAGCGGTAACAGATATCCTAAGAACCAACAATTGCCCAACATCAGCAGCTCCTAACACTCAAACTCTGAAGAATATTCTACATATGTGAGCATTTGTTGATGACCACAACTGTCTTCCAGCTGTCAGTGGACCCAAGCACTCGTACGAAATGAAGTTAAAAAAAAGTCATATGTATGAGATGAAAAAAAAAAAAAAAAAAAAAAAGGATTATATGTATCGACTTTTAGAATGCCTCTTTAAAGAAATCCATTGTTACCATGTGTTATAAAATATTGCTGTTACAATCACAAGGTTTCCAAATCTATTTTGAAATTGGGAAACAGCAAAAAAAAAAAAAAAAAAAATTGATTTAACAAGTGGTGAAATCTTGAAAACCAAAAACGGTTTTGTGTAGAGATCTAAATAAAAAAAAAAAAGTATCTCGTAATTCTAGTTAATTCGAATACGATTCGAAAAAAGTGTACACACTTCGGGCCACAGAAACTTAGAGGAAAATAAGGGAAACAAATGTAAAACGGGTCTTGGTCGATGTTTTAGGTTTTTTCATCCAGAATTGCATTTCTTGATGAAAGTCAATCAAGCCATCGGCAAGGGACAGAGTTCTGCTGATTTCATTAGCACTGGCAAGACTTTGAAGGCTTCGGCAAAGATGAGAGTATTCTTCAAACACTTCATGTTTAGGGCTTGTGGGACATCTGAAAGTTCATGTTTTGTTTCCAGAACAGATCTTGCTATAATGAGGGACGATGTTTATACCACTCAACAAATTCATCGAGAAGAACTGGCCCTGAAAGGATTTAGACAGATACATTAGGTGCATACAGTACATTTTTAAATAAAATTTTGCCAACGCAAAATCTGGTTAAAGACTATGGGAAAGGATTTCGGAAATGTTGGTCACATCTCCGTTGGTAATCATCGTTACAATCTAAGGTCCCTAACTTACATTCACACATACACATATTAGGGCCAATTTAGACAGGAGCCAATTAACCTACCAGCATGTCTTTGGAGTGTGGGAGGAAACCCACTCAGGCACAGGGAGAACATGCAAACTCCAGGCAGGTGGTGCCGTGGCTGGGATTCGAACCAACAACCCTAGTACTGCCAGGCGGAAGTGCTAACCATTTAGCCACTGTGCTGCTCATACATATATATAGTTATTACAATGCTGATGCTATAAAACAAAGGTGTATGCTGTGACGACAGACCTCCATTAACACTCTGTCAAGTTTTTATTGCTCAATCTATGAAAACCAATAACCTGCAAGTATGTTTGCAACAGTTGTCATATATTGGGCAGCACAGTGGCTAAATGGTTAGCACTTCCGCCTGGCAGCACTAGGGTCGTTGGTTCGAATCCCAGCCACGGCACCTCTTGCAAGAAGTAGGATATGCAAAAATACAGACTACATGCAAAACACTGCTAAAGAATAAAAGCCAATTCATAGCAGCGACAAGGTGCATAATGTACAAAAACATGTAGTCCACAAGCCACATACAGGGGTTTGACCAAAAACAAATATGGAAACACTTCATGATTTACAGGTGTGAAAGTGATGACATGTTTCGCATTGAAAGCAGTAGTGATGTAACATTCTTTACCTTCTGCTGTGTGATGAGACACCTGGCTAACAGGGGGGGGGAAGCCTCACTTTCGTCATTCACAGTGTGCACTGCTAGTAATATGGAATCATGTCAGAGCTTACTGAGCTTCAAAATAGGGCAAATTGATGGTGCCGCTTAGCTGGTGCCTCTGTGACTGAAGTTGCTAATTTATTTGCTGTGTCAGGAAGTACAGCATCAAAGGCCATGACAGCATATATGCATATAAAAGACAATGTGCAGGACTGTGATGTGGAATCAGAAACAACTTCTGCAAAACTGACTGCACAGCTCAATATAAGTCCTGTGAAGACTGTGATTGAGCTCTGCAGTCATTCTTGCAGCAGTTTTCCTATTCTGGGTCACAATCCTGCGCAATGTCCTTTTGTCTCTTTCGGTCAGCTGACCATGTTGACTGCACTATCAGACAACGTTTTTCCAGAAACTGTATATGCCCTCAAAACCTTCAATACTGCAACACGGCCAATAAATTGGCAACTTCAGTCACAGAGGCACCGCCCAAGCGGCACCAACAATTTGCCCTCTTTGCTCAGTAAGCTCTGACATGGCTCTGTATAACTAGCAGCGCACACAGTAAATGACGAAATTGAGGCTTCCCACCTGTAAGCTGGGTGTCTCATCACATAGTGGAAGCAAAAGTATGTTACATCACTTCCATTTTCAACCCAAGACATGTTGTCACTTTCACACCTACAAATCATGTTGTGGTTCAATTTTTTTGGTCCAGCCTCTGCATATCCCCCTAATTATATGCTGCACACTTACATTATGCCCCCAAGGTTTGAATAGGTGGGTTAGTTTCCAATCAGAATCTAGTATAGGTCTACAACTAAGAACCAATGGCTCAGTAGATGTTTATCTTCCAACTAGGACATTCAGAAAAGATGCATCATCAGTTTTTCCATCAGACCCCGGAGGTAAACCCTCTATAGGCTCCTTTACAAAGAATTGATAACTTTCTCCTCATCATACGATAGTGTTTAGGCCTGTACACTGGCTGCTTAGACCCATATGCTCCATCCTGGGAGGAGTCATATGCTATCCCATACCCAGAACCACCGGCTGATTTGTGAGGGCTCTGCAAGAGCCATGCGAGTGAAATATATTTGGATCAGGGGTCAGCTTTCAAGAGACTGTCACTTTGCCTTGAATTGGAGACATAACAGTCATTTTAATACCCTAGTTTTTACCTCTGGCTAACTAGGTATGACAAAGGTGTAAAGGTCAGAGCTGAAGCCCCAAGTATCTGCTTATTCTTCATTGGCAGAATCTACTCAATAATGTGACCACATCATCCATGTTTGTAATGTACATAATAGATGTGAAATCTAGGAAATCTACTAGGAATATCTAGCCATTGGAGCCCCAGGAGCCAGGAAGTGAGTCATTCAAATATCAACCCTGGGTGAGGCAGGCTGCACGTAAACTTACAGCAGGCAACGTCACCTACATTTCCACTGAAAAAATAGCTTTTTGAGCACAAATACTGCCATTTTTTGTATTTCCATCCCCAAGAACAAAAACAAAAAAAATTGATCATTACTTACAGGCACCATCTTCATCATAGTTACTAAGATCGGAATTAACGGTCCGACTGAATTCTAATACATTATACCACTGGTCTTTGTTCATTACTCTGTATTTGGACTGCTGTTAAAACAAGACAGAAGATCATCTTATATAAAAAATGAGTAAAAGCGCCTTAATATATATATATAAAAAAGCAAGCTGCTATGCACAAAAAGGTAACCAATATCACCCTAGAACATCAATGTATATATAAAGTGCAGCGCTAAAATGAACAAAAAACAATGTTGAAAATCAATAGAAAGTCAATGCAATAATGAATGGGTATAGATGAATGACCCTTAATTAATCCAGAACCCTACACATATATAAATATATATGAGTTCAGACGGAAATGTGATCAAAAAAGTCAATAAAGTGACTATAGTGCTCAGGTGCCATGAGGGTCTGGTATCCGTGCAATAATGGTAAAGGTAATGCGCACTCACCGGGCGCGCATGTTATATGTGCTTTTTAGTGTAAAAAATCCAGATGTCATCTGATGGTGGGTGGTCCTCCCTCTACTGTTGCTGTGTCTGTGTGCTGGAAGACGCAGCTTTTAACATCTACTATACTATGGAAGTAACTCTCGGTCGCCCCCTGGGGGAGTACTTTAGTCCACAGACCGATTTCCTGGACGGATCATTGCCACACAGTGAAAGTCTGCCCACCCAGAGGGATACTACCCACCAGGAATATAGGGGGACCTCTAAAGAAAGAGGACCACCCACACCAGCTTCATACTACCTAACAGTAGAGGGAGAACCACCCACTATCAGATGACATCTGGATTTTTTACACTAAAAAGCACATATAACATGCGCGTCCGGTGAGTGCGCAATACCTTTACCATTATTGCATGGATACCGGACCCTAATGGCACCTGAGCACTATAGTCACTTTTTTGACTTTTTGATCACATTTCCATCTAAACTCATATATATTTATATATGTAGGGTTCTGGATTAATTAAGGGTCATTCATCTATACCCATTCATTATTGCATTGATTTTCAACATTGTTTTTTATTTATTTTAGCGCTGCACTTTATATATACATAGATCATCATCTTAGCACTTGTTATATACAGATTCTGCAACTCATTTTACATACATGAAAACTGGAAAAACAAGCTCATCCGGAAAACTTAAAAATGGTTAGGTGCACTTTAAAGCTGAAACTCCAGGCATTTACATAAAAAGATACAAATGATTGCAGGTTTGTATCTCTGAATATATTATTTTAAATGCCAATAGTGTAAGTACCTACATTCGACTCAATAGCAATCTTTTGCAATTTTATGTATAGTAGCCCTCAAACTGAAAATCCAAGAGGTGTGCTGTATGAAACTGATGATATGTGGATGAGTGCAAAGTGATGAGAGAGATGATCTCATCAGTCAGCTGCTCTTTATAGCTGATCTCTAGGTATTCTCTTATTTGCATAAATACGCTGGTCCAGCTTGGACAAATGCAAGTATGCATACTGCATTCCTAAGAGACTGCTGCGGCAGCTCACAATCATTGCTGTAGTTGGCGCTACTACAGTGATTGCTGCTATTTTACAGGTCCTGACCCAGGGGTTGTTGACCACTGTCATTCACAGAAGGCCTTGCAATTTTCATTGACTATTCTCTCCTCTCCCCCTCATCCAATCAGAGAAAGCTTTGTATTCTTTGAAAAACGACTGTAAGATATATGATTACTTACATTGGTCCAAGCTGGATTAATGTAACTATGTAATTAAGATAATACCTAGAGTTCAGTGTTAACTGTCCTGTCTGCATGTTGAGGGTGGAGAGATGACACAACTGCATTCCTGCTACATTTTGCAAGCGCAACAGAAAAAATGGTGTCATTTGCCCTGCCTGTGTATATGCCTGGAATGGATGAACTGAATTACAAATCCTAAGGGAGGTATGTTGCAGGTATAGCTATGCAAAACATTAAAAATAGGTGCCAAATTTTATTTAAAATTCAGTAATGCATTGTTCTCCATCACGGTCTGCCCTGCACTTGCTCAGTTGCTCTCTATTCTCAGCACTGTGCCTAAAATCAGAGCCAATAGAGGCCGATCAGATGACAGCTTTAAGATTCACTGTTGCTGAAGAGGGAAGAAAGTAACAGGAATGACAGACTGTGTGGAGGGAACACAGATTAGGGAGGAAGAAAAGAAAAGCAGAAGTGACAGGACAAACTCTGCTGGCAGGGAGACACAAGAGCTAAACTTACGAGGATAGTGTCTCATCTCCCTGATATTCTCTCCTTAAAACAATCTGTGAATTTCAGCACTGTATAGCTTCTGTCAGCCTGAGAGCTGGTTCATACCAAAATTTCTGTATTCTGGTTGCGTTTCTGTGTGCATGTTTTTGATGCATTCCAGTGTGTTTTTTCCCTTTTTTATTTTTCTTTTCTTTCAACTGAAGACACATGGGGGTTTATTTACTAAAGCTGGAGAGTCCAAAATCAGACTCCCTTCTGCAAAATCAGACTCCCAATCAGCTTCTAACCTCAGCTTGTTCAATGAAGCTTTGGCAATGAAACCTGGAAGCTGATTGGTTTCTATGCAGAAGTGAATCTGATTTTGGACTCTCCAGCTTTAGTAAATAAACCCCAAACAGTCCAGTGAGTTTGTGTTTTGCCGTTACATAAAGAAAAAAATGCAACTTACTTACTCTACTTTCGTTGACTGCACTGGAATGCACTGCACTGGTGTGAACAAGGGCCACTGGAATCCATGTTAAACACGGTCCATGCATTTTGGAAGCAGAATAAAAAGGCAGTGGACTGCATCTGGTGTGAACAAGCCCTAACTGAGCCTAGACATACAAGGGTTTATTTACTAAAGCTGGATCGCTCAGAATCTCATGCACTTAGCATAGAAACCAATCAGCTTCCAGGTTTTATTGCTAAAGCTTAACCGAACAAGCTGAGGTTAGAAGCTGATTGGCTACCATGCACAGGTGCACGAGATTATGAGTGAACCAGCTTTAGTAAATAAACCCCACAATGAAGGCTGCAAATGTACCCATTTTAAATTACAGAAAGTGACATATAGATTTTGAAACCAAGGAGAAGGAGAGAGTTTCCACAAATGAAATAACTGCTCTAGGCTTCAACAAAATGGCAGTCTTCAACAAGAAGAAAAAGGAGCAATGCTGGAGGCAATTTACAGCCCACACTAATTTTGGTTGCATAATTGAAGTGGAATGTATGTTCTTTTGTTAAAAGAACATTAAATTGTTATAAAGCTGTTATGGGTAAAGTCTCGAGTTACGAACAAAGTTAGTGCAGCTATTGAACGCTTTCTCTTTTATATTAAGTGGCATAAACAACAGCAAACTGGGCTCTCTTACCTCCAGGTACTGGTAGAACACAGAAAATAATGGCCATGTTCTTCCAAGTAAAAGTGCCAACATAGTTTTTGCAGTATCTATGTCCAGACTCCGCTGGACTTTGTCCTATTGTAAAAACACAGATCTAGTTAGTTCATACAATTTCTATTTACAGAAAGTTCATAGACGAATCCACCAAGTCAAACTAGCACATGAAACTAAAGGACATTATAGACTTGACTATTTTACTTGGGTATATAGACTTGATTATTGTACAGGGTATATTGGTTACATATTAGTCATACTTGTCACAAAAGTATCAATATACCGAACAGACTCCAAGCGGATTCTTAGAAATTGTTGCAATTTGAAGGCAACGGTAGAACCTACATTACAGGAAATGCAGCAGAATCACCCTTTGTGGCAGGCAAGAACATAATCTTTCATTTGAGAACTCAGTAGAGAAAACATGGCAACAAGCATATCACTCTACCAATGCACTCCACATAAAAACTGACTGTATTTGGGTGTCATTCTTATTCAGGTTGCATTTGCGGTTTTATTTTTTGTTTACAAACTTTTTTTTTTTTTTATTAAGGAATAGACTGCAAAAATAGCATAACAGCATAAAGTAGAGTATACAACATATGTAATAATCATTCCAATCAAGTACAATTATGTAAGACATAAAGATTAAGTACATGAACAAAGTAGGAAGGAAGGCAGGCAGAGCAATAAGGCTACCAACAGAGGAACACTATCAATTAAATCATGAATATTCATCAGTCAGACAATAAATGTTGATGAGTTTTCCAAACATGTCATTTTCTGTCAAATAAGTGCATCCTATCCAGTAACGTATATTGAATAAGTTCCATGAGCATCACCACCACATCGACTCTTCATAGAACTGAGGCTAATGGCACTGTAAGCGACTTCCAATGAAGGGCAATGGCCCATAGGGTTGAGACACAGATGGTGTGAATTAGCCTCATAGCCTCGGTTTGTATTCCCGAGATAGGGGCTCCCAATAAGCAAATCTGCACAGACAGATGCACCGGATTGTCTTCCACAGCAGAAGACACTTCAGAAATTTTACGACCTACCCATGAAAGGCCGGGACAGGGCCCAAAATATATGCACAAGGGTACCAGCAAGGCCACAACCCCGGAAGCAGAGGTGGGACGTCCCTGGGAACATGATATGTAGTCTAGAGGGGGTATAATACCATCGGGTTAAGACCTTTAGGGCCCCTCACAGACAGAAAAATCTAGAGCTCTTACGTATGTTATCCACCATGGAGTCCCAATCCTCTTCATAGAAGGTGATATCACAATCAGCCTCCCATTTATGTCTATACAAGGGGGGTAAGGGAAAGATAGTTGCCAAAAAAAGGCAATACAAAATCTGAAATAAGACCCCTACCCCTATGAGAGTCACAGCAAATGCATTAAAAAAAAGTGATCGGGGACGAAAGTGTCAATCCAAAATGTGAATTAAAGAAATGTTTTATTTGCCAATAACGATAGTATTCACGAAGTGGGATATCGAAAAGTGTTTGTAATGTCTCAAAAGTGATAGAAGATCCACCTCTTTGAAAATCTGATAAAGGCTCAATCGTACCACCAGTGGAATGCCTGCAAAGACAAAAATGCCACAAGAAAATTCAGATCTCCAAAAAATGACGAACCCGGTGAAACAGAGGGGACCAGATCTAATTTAAATGTATAACGGGACCAAAAGTATCAATGAGTGGGCAACAAATGAATTATAGGTCAACAACAAGCAGGGGGGAATTTTCGTCCATAATAGACCTAGTAAATAGAACGGGTGTATAGATTGAGATTCATATCTGACCCAGGGGATCTGGGAGTTAATAGTCGCCCATTGTGATAGTTGTGAAAAGCGGGCAGACCGGTAATAAAGCCAAAAATTGGGGAGTCTGAGGTCACCCGCCCGTTGCGACTGATATAGGACGGATGAAGTAAAACGTGGATGTTTATTACGCCAGATAAAATTATTAATCACCCATTGAAAACGATCAAGGAATGTTTTCGAGACCGAGATTGGGAGTGCTCGGAATAAATAAAGTAATTTTGGTAAAACATACATTTTCATAGCCGTGACTCTGCCCAAAAATGAGATTGGGTATCCATGCCAGATCTTTAACAAAGTAGAAAGGCGACACACATGGTGGATAATTAGCTGCAAATAGTCCTGAGTACCTGGGTGTAAGATAGATACCCAAATATAGGATCCGGTCCGTGGCCCAGCGAAATGGGAAAGAACCACGGAGGGATTCATTCAGGGATTTATTGACATTAATAGGCACGACAACGGATTTAGTAAAATTTAACGCGAGACCCAATATGGATGCAAAATCATTGAATAACGTGCATAAATTAGGCAATGATACTAATGGGTTAGTAAGGAAAAGCATGACATAATCTGCATATATACAGAATTTGAATTGTGAGACCAAATGTGGGTACCCTGAAATATCCGGGTGTGATCTTAAAACAATTGCCAAGGGTTCCAAAACCAGCACAAATAGTAAGGGCGAAAGCGGACAACCCTGACGGGTGCCTCTGCCCAATGTAAAAAAGTGAGAGTTGCAGCCTGGGAGTCTAATTCTTGTTTGGGGGGAGGCATACAGAGCACGTACACCAGATAACAATTCATCACTGAAGCCCAATTTCTGCAACAGTGAAAACAAATAGGGCCAGGAGGACACTATCAAAGGCCTTATTGATGTCCAGGCTCAATAACAACTCTTCTTTAAAGTGTAGGTTAGCATCCTGAATGACATTTAATGTGAGTGTGAGACGTATGTTGTCTGTGATAAGTCAGTCCGGATAAATCCCGATTGGTCAGGTGAGACCAATGAGGAGATAATAGGGGCCAATCTATGTTCCAAAATACGGCCAAATATCTTTAAATCGCTGTTCATCACTGAGATGGGTCTATAGTTTTGAGCTAGAAGATGATCTTTTAAGGGTTTAGATAACAGGGACATGTTAGCCAACAGCATCTCCTCAGGAAACCTGCCGCCCTGCAAACTATCGTTGAACAGGGACGCCAAAAAAGGAGCTAACAGAGAAGTAAAATGCTTAAAATAACTAGCCGTGAACCCATTGGGGCCCGGTGCTGTAGAAGTTCGCAGTGCACTAATCGCAGGGGTTATTTCCTGCAGAGTTCATGGGGATTGAGAGAAGATATCAGAGTGTGAGAGCAGGGAGGGGTAAAGAATCAAACCACGAGCCATCGAGGGAGTGGAAGTCGTTTGTGGGGGAGCGAAGAGGGTGGAGTGAAATTCTTTAAAAATTCCCAGAACTTGATGAGGCAAAGAGAAGACGTTACCATTCTAAATACGTAGCTTATAGATATGTGGGGACCGCATAGAATGGTTAAATTTCCGTGCGAACATAGTTGACGCTGAATTGCTATGTAATAAAAAAGAAGCCTTAGACCAGCGCAAAGCCTCTTCAGTTTTCTGGGATAGTAAGGTATTTAATTCTAAGCGCTTTTGCGATATAGTTCTGATCAGGAGAGATGGATTGCCTACGTGTGTTCTATAATGCGTTTCCAATTCCCTAGTAAGTTTCTGAATTTGTTTCCAACGCTCCCTATTCCTAACTGCCGCCATAGAGATAAGGCGGCCTTGCAGAACCGCCTTGTGGGCCACCCATAAAGTAGCCGGAGGAGGTGTCAGGAGTTGTGTTCAGCTGAAAGTATTCTTGGATGGAGGTAGCCACTTCTTGACGGGAGTTAGCATCTGTAAACATAGAGTCATTCAACCGCCAAGAGTAGGGAGTAGGTGCTAGATCTATAAAGGTGATTGACAGTGCCACAATATTATGATCTGACCAACACCACAAATGTATGCCTGTCTTAGTGAAGTTGGCTAGCAAAATTGGGGAGCAGTAGATGTAATCTAGCCTAGCATAAGAGTTATGCGGGTGGGAGTAAAATTAGTAATCCCTTGCTCCAACATAGTGTGTTCTCCAGGAGTCCACTAGCTGAAATGCTTCTAGTTTTTTAGTGACGGATTTTGGGAAGGCCGTGGAAGAAGGTGAGGACGAACTTCTATTAAGGGGTTAGCCACCAGATTACAGTCACCTCCCACTAATAAATGGGGGGACAGGAACTTATCAAGAACATAAAAAAGAAAATAAAAAAATATATAAGTTGCTTGAGCAGAGTTCGGTGCATAAACATTGGCTATTGTGAGTTCACGACCCGAAAGGATACCTTTAATAGTGAGAAATCTGCTCTCAGGATCACGATGGACATGTTGAACCTCAAAGGGAAACTAGTTGTGAAGAAAAACCGCTACACCGTTGCTCGTAGTGGAATGTAAGGTGTAAAACCCTTACATAGAAGATCTATGACAGAATGTAGGAGGTTTAGCCGCTGCGAAATGAGTCTCTTGTAATAGAATAATCTTCGCCCCTAGACATCTATATTGGAGGAAGTCAGTTTTGCACTTATTTGGAGAATTGAAACCCTGGATATTATGTGAGATGCAATGAATGACCATGGCTAAATATTACAAAAATAGTATCTATTGTATCCATCTGAGCCATATCAGAAAAGTTTGTCTTCTCTGCGGAGCACCCGGATCTGCAACCTGTAAGGTGAAGTCTGTCAGTATCATTTTATGGAATATCCAAGCCACAAAGATGCAGCAAGGAGATCCACAAAATTGTGTATGACTACCATCATGTACCAAAATTATCAAAAAGACAAAAACATAAAACAGTAGAGGCAGGGCCCTAAGAGCCCCTAAAGCTAAAGAAAGTACAACAAACCATGGATCAGGTGGGCTAGCTGCCTCACCTGAAAAGACAGAGAAACATAACATCAAAAGGACCAACAGGGAACTTATCAGTTATACTGTTTGCAGGTTCTCTGTAGAGTATTCAATACCTTCACCTCAAGTTATGGAGAAGGGGGGGGAATGGGAATGTAGTCCTGTACTAAAGCTGGGTACACTTAGACCGAAATTCGGTAGTTCAGCAGGGACTCTCTGTGGCTCTCCCTGTTCAGCAGCTGATTGTTATATTGGCGTCTGTTGAACGGACCCGCTTGGAAACCTTCAATTAGTAAGTACAGTGCTGCTCAGTGTATCCTGACAGAGGAGAGTTTCCGCTGGCAGAACGCAATGTGCTGGCGGGGAAGATTCCTGTATCCACCTTGCTGGTGTGGATGCAGGAAACAATTGAATTTTTTTTTTAGTTTTTGGTCAACACACTTAAGGTGAAAAGGCTGCTCCTCCATACATACAGCACTGTCACCCCCTAAAACAGGAGTGTTACTGGCAGGATCACCAGATGAAAAAAGCCAGTAAACCGAAAACTAATTCAGCCACCTTATCCAAGGAGGCTACAATACATTACAAAATAGCTAATAGGTTTAGATACGCTTTAAAGTTGAACTCCAGGAATTCAGCTACTTTGTACAATGTGCTGTATTAGTAGGGGTTAATTCCAACGAGGTGCATGCCACATTGTGGACTTGTCTCTTTAATTTACAGTTTTCATATTTTCTGGAGGGCTGGGAGCATAACTATTGCTATGCTCCGGGGGCTCAGATGCAGGACCTTCTGTTCTCACATATTGAGGCTACAGAGTCACATGCAGCTTCTGTGCCCCCTCATCCTGCCCAATCACAGAGCACTTTGTATTAAGTGAACTAATTTACAGAATACAAAGCCTTCTGTGAATGAACAGCAAGAGGGGAGGGGAGAGCTGAAATGGGGCAGGGTTGGTGGAGATGCTGTGTGTGAGAACACCCTGTCACTTCTGTCAAAGCCCTAGGAGTGTAGTGATAACTGCACTCCTGGAGCTCCGTAAAACTGTCAGATGTAAATTAAAGAGAGAAGTCTACAAGGTGGCATGCACCTTGTTGGCATTACCTCATAGTATGCCAGCAAATTTTACAAATTCCTGGAGTTCAGCTTTAACCTTGAGTCCATTTGTAGATGACCACTGAAGTAATATAATCCATGGAACAGTTTGGCATCAATTTACTGAGGTTTTGAGATGGTTAAGGGGAGCTGATCAGTCCTATTCAACTCTCCCTTATTTTAATCTGCTAGTCTGCCACAACAACACAGGCACACCATACACACTAAAAAGAAGGCCCCCAAAAATGAAATATCCTAAAACCAAAACCTTCTTTACTAAAAGAACAAAATCCAGCTTCCTACTCCCCCATTTTCTACCGTCATAGTACTTTAAAGTAAGTAATAGCTGTGATTTAAGCAAGACAAAACTAGACAACCCTCAGCAACATCTCAAATGCAAGCTGACTATATTGGGAAACTTCTTACATTACAGGCTGACACCATACTCATGGTGTGTTAAACAAATTTGCTGATTTATTATGTCCCAAATTCCTTACAAAGTAAGTATTTTGTATGTGGACTGGCACGGTCTGTCAAAACACACAATTTGATATGTACTTACCCTTGCAAAATCAAATGCATATCTGTAAATATTCTTAAAGGCAGTGTTATCGTTCAGTTGCGCCCGAAGATAGTCAAATTTACCCTGTAACTTCTCTGTGCAGTCACATCTTAAACACAGGTATGAAACACAGGTTAACATCACAGAGGAATTCCTTATTGCCAACGCTAATCAAAATGATCCAGTAGCTCCTGGTGCCAGAACCCTTTCACAAAACAATTCAATCCAATAGACTTCACAATAAAAACACAGCATGGTCAGTGAGCATTGTACATATACTATTGAATATTTATCATTAGATCCAACACAGGGAAGTGTTACACTAGTCAATAGCAATAGAAGAGGATTTTAGATAAAGGAAACACACGCTTTTGTCTTTTGCTGCAGAGGCTCCAACACAACGAATCAAGTATGAAGCAGAAGGGGTTAAACTGGAACCATGGGCTAAATCAACTATTACATTATATAATGCAGTCTGTCATTAGCATTAACACAGCAGTTTTAGTACCCGCTGACCTGCCAGCGGGTCAATATTTGGTCATTTCCTTTAACAGGGTGACAATGGAACAGTGTTGTTGCCTGATGGATGGAAAAGTCCTATATGCACTTTTTATGTTGTTTTTTGTTAAAAAAAAAAAAGGAAGGTTTAAAAAACACAAAAGTAAAAGCTGACCATTGTAAGAATCTATCAGTATTAGAGGGATTGGGACAAGCCATTTAAGGGCAACTTCTGCTGGACAGTTACAGGAAGTGGAAAAATAACTGATCAACAGGTAACAAAACTACCTTGCAAGGAGGATGCTGAAAAACTGCCATATTCATTAGATTGATAGACTGCATCTTATGAGTAATTATTGATTTTTCCCACAGTTCCATTTTAAGTTAGGTTCAGGCGTTAGGTGGATCAGGATTTAAAGAGAAAGAGTAATGGCCCATTGACACCATGTGTGTTTCGCAGTGCAGGCCCAACAAAATGATAACCTAAAGTCCATTCTTTTTAAAAGGCCCAGAACATACTAGGGTACTGCATTGATGTTTTATTTGATTGTAACACAATGCACTACAACCTGTGGTAAGGAACAGAGAGGTATGTTTGCTCACATCATTGCAACTCATTAAAAAATGCATGCCAACTTAAGTGCATTGTACACAGAAAGCAAGTGATAGGAGTTAGGTTTAGCTTTCGGTTTTAAAAGGTTTAAAGAAATAGGACAACCATTGAAGCAAACTAGTAGTGCTTTGCCTATTCATGACAATAACAGGCTTGCTGGACTCCACACACACCCCGCTGCTCCCTGAAAGCCCATTCACCTGCCAAAGCATAAATAACATACGTTGTACTTTGTGATATGGGAGAACACAAGCCTCTTCCCCTTTCTCCCATACTGTAATACTCGGTGCCTGGGCACAAAGGAGAAGAACACTGCAGGCAATGGCAAAGATGTCAATACAGTCAGGTCCATAATTATTGGGACATCGACACAATTCTAACATTTTTGGCTCTATACACCACCACAATGGATTTGAAATGAAACGAACAAGGTGTGCTTTAACTGCAGACTGTCAGCTTTAATTTGAGGGTATTTACATCTTAATCAGGTGAACAATTTTCTCCAGCATTCAGAATGCCTCTCTCTGGAGAAGGAATAGGAATAAGAGGAAGTCAAAAAAAAAAAAAAAAAAAAAAAAAAGTGGCTGGCTGGGAATGGAGTCCAGCCTGTACTTAGGCTCATGTAGAATAGGATTAACTGTTAATGTGTTAAGGGTGCTTCATGATAGGGAACAGTTTTTAAAATTCCATTTTACTTCTTCTTGGGAGTTAGACACCCCAAAAACAGGAGACCCCGGCACCGGAAGCTAATGCACCAAACTATTTATACTGTATGTAGATAGGAATACAATTCGAGAAACAAACACTGGTGTGGTGCCAGGAAAATTATTAAGTGTACAATATAAAAATACATGTACAAAAATGGCAAATTTCAACCCAACCCAAATGGGAAACTTCAACCCAACCATGATTCTCACAAAATAGGGTGAAATCCATGAGCAGGTTGATATACGTTATGCCACGCCTTTCACATGCACAACATTGGGACAAGATAGAAAGCCATTCTTACTGTAGAGAGGTCATTCCTTTCAACCACTCCTCTTTTGTGAAAAAGCCCATATTTTCTGCCTCTAATTTCCATGCAAGAACCAACATAATTATCTGGGGAAGACAACAGCAAACAGAAGACAAATAAGGTAATGCACAAAGACTAATTGAACAACTTATCTCAGAAAAACAAATAACTAAGCAGTACGAAGGGTCTTCCTAACTTGAAACAAATTCAGTGGATTGTTTAGAAAGGCCCTGGCATTACATAGTTTTTACATATTATATACATATACACACACAAAAGGAGACTGTACTGTATTTAGATGGCTTTAAGCTGGCCATACCCATTATACCATATAAAATAATTTTCTCTAGATTTATCAGATACACTATGCGCTGAAAGGTTTGTGGACATCAAACCTACAGTATATGAGCTGGTTGAAAATCCCATTCTAAAACCATGGGCATTAATAGGGAGCCCCCTCCCCTTTTGTGGCTATTACAGCCTTCACTCTTTCAATCCTCAGAAAAGGCTTTCTACAAGATTTTGGGGTTTGTCTGTGGGAATGTGTGCCAGTTCAGCCAAAAGAGCATTTGTGAGGTCAGGTACTGATGTTAGATGAGAAGACTTGACCCCACAATCCGTATGCTTACTCATTTCATAGGTGTTTAGCAAGATTTAAATCAAGGTTGTGAGCAGGTCACTCAGGTTTCTCCACACAAAACTCATGCCAAATCGTTATGGTGCTGGCTTTGTGCGTGGAGCCACGGTCATACTGGAAAAGAAAACAGTCTTCCCCTAACTTTTGCCACTAGACTGAAAGCGCACAAATTTCATGCTGTCGTTTTAAAGGAAGCCCCCACAGAAACTGCTTACACTAAAATGTTTGCAGGAGTGTCCAGCTGTATACTTTTGGCCGTACAGCTAAGCCCAAGTAAGGGGTCCACAAACGTTGGTCATATAGGGGTTTATTTACTAAAGTTGGAAAGTGAAAAATCTGATGAAGCTCTGCATATAAACCAATCAAATCAGTTTCCAGATTTTTTTTTTTTTGGTTGTCAAAGATTAATTGAACAAGCTGAAGGTAGAAGCGATTGGCTACCATGCACACCTGCACTAGATCTTGCACTCACCAGTTTTAGTAAAGCAACCGCATGGTGTATGAAAGTGTAAGGTCAATATATAAACAACTTTTTCAATAAAAATCCAAATCAGGTAGTCCCTCATACAGACACATACACTAAAGCAATACTAAACTCTGTGATCAGACAGAAAAAAAAAACAAAGAAAATTTTATAAAAAATAGTTTCCAGGGCCATTAAGTAGTGAATGTGTATGCATAATTCTTTGAGAAGGGTGTCTTATTGTAACTTTTTTGTACAGACTTTAATACAGTGCCTTGAAAAAGTATTTATACTTCTTGAAATTTTTTCCACATTTTGTCACGTTACAACCAAAAACGTAAATGTATTTTATTGGGATGTTATGTGATAGACCAACACAAATTGAAACATAATTGTGAAGTGGAAGGAAAATAATAACATGGTTTTCAACTCAGACCAGCTTCCTTGTCCCTGCTGAAGAAAAGTATCCCCACAACATGATGCTGCCACCACGTTTCATGGTGGGGATGGTGTGTTCAAGGTGACTTCTTATGGCTCTCTTTCAATAATGACTTTCTTCTTGCTACTCCTCCATAAAGGCCAGATTTGTGGAGTGCACGACTAAAAGTTGTCCTGTGGACAGATTCTCTCATCTGAGCTGTGGATCTCTAGCTCCTCCAGTTACCATGGGCCTTTTGGCTGCTTCTATGATTAATGCTCTCCTTGCCCAGCCTGTCAGTTTAGGTGGAGGGCCATGCCTTGGTAGGTTTGTAGTTGTGCCATACTCTTTCCATTTTCAGATGGTGGATTGAACAAATGCTCTGTGAGATGTTCAAAGCTTGGCATATTTTATATAGATCTCCCTTCTTTAAACTTCTCCACAACTTCATCCCTGACCATTCTGGTGTGATCCTTGACCTTCATGATACCGTTTGTTCACTAGTGTTCTCTAACAAACCTCTGAGGGCTTCACAGAACAGCTGTATTTATAATGAGCTGAAATTACACACAGGTGGACTCCATTTACTAATGGGTGACTTCTGAAGGCAATTGGTTCCACTAGATTTTAGTTAGTTAGGGGGTATCAGAGTAAAGGGGGCTGAATAAAAATACAAGCCACATTTTTCAGATATTTTATTTGTAAAAAAATTTTAAAACCATTTATCATTTTCCTTCCATTTCACAATTATGTGCCACTTTGTGTTGGTCTATCACATAAAATCCCAAGAAAATACATTTACGGTTTTGGTTGTAACATGACAAACTGTGGAAAATTTCAAGGGGTATGAATACTTTTTCAAGGCACTGTACATATGACCAGCTTATAAGAAAAATAGAAAAAAGCACAAATTGATATGACAATTTCTCATAAGAATCACGCCCCAGGGGCAGGAAGTACAAATAATCTATACTTCGATAAATAAAACAAAACTAAAAACACATTTCTTACGTTTTCTGGTTCTACACCTATATCCTCACAGAATTTTTCCATTGCTTCTGGCCCAACAATTTCATCTGGACCTGTTAAATGAAACAAAGCAAAAGTGTTTTCCTAAAGAATATCGAACTTCCGGTATTAGAGGAAATATGGCCTACAAAACGAATCCATAAAATATTCCATAATATCTAAAAAGAGAAGCTGATTTATTCATCTGACTATTCTATCCTCCGCTCTGATGTAATATGGTTGCCCATTCTTCTTTGTAAACTGCATTAAAACATTAAAGTGGGTCTAAAGGCTCAAGGTTTTTTACCTTGAAAAAAAAAAAAAAAAAAAACCCTTCTATATGTGGCAGTCCCTGTAATGCTTACCCGAGCCCAATCCTGATCCAGCAATATCCATGAAAGCCTCTGTTCTCCGGGGACTCACATTTCTGATTGGCCGTCATTGGCACTAGCTTCTGTCAATCACAGCCAGTGAGCCAATTAGGAGGGGGCTGAGCAGCAGCTCTGTGTGTGAGTGGACACACAGAGCCATGGCTCGGAAGCACACTTGCTGTGGGGGCATCCGACAGGAGGGAGGGGCCTGGAGTGCAGGACGGGGACATGAGAGAAGGAGGATCCGGTCTGCTGTGTGCAAAACCATTACACAGAACAGGCAAGTATAGACATGTTTATTATTTTAAAAAAAAACCCATAAGACATTAGTAACACTAAAAAATGCGACCTTTTTGTGTTCTGGAGCAAAAAGCTGGCCTTCCCTGCTGCCTGTTGTTGGCTGCAGCCAGGTATTGACATTATAGCAAACCTTTTAGTTTTCATGTTATGTGATATGTATACTGCCTCTAACCCAGCCCATGCAATCTGCTTAGTTTTTGTGAACACAGGACTTAAAGTGTCATTAAACCCAAATCATCAGAAACAGTCTATACATGCTATATCACATTGTGTTCATCCTCACTCATCCACTAAAGAATTTGTTTTCTGTAGACTGCAAAAAATCCTGATGTACACTGTGCCTCCCTCCTTGTCTGTTTCCCCGCTGCAGCCTGAGATCCTGTAGACAACTATGGACATATACTGAGCAGTTTCACTTCCCATCTAAGCTGTTAATTTCCTTCTTTATTTTTATCTGTGCAACCCATGTGACTACAGAGTCACACATGCGGATGTGTACATAGTTGTAAATGACACTCCCCCTCCCTCCTCCTCATATTGCTAAACACTATGGGGGTGGGATAGAAGAGGTTGATGGAGGTATTACCTCTCCATTAGTCTCATCACATACACCCCATAAACACAAAGGGGGGCTACTGACAGGCTTATTAACGCTAAAAAAACAGGAATAGGTTAACACATTTTCGTTTGGATTTAGAATATATAATAGTGGTTGTTAAAGATTGGGAAGATGTGATCTGGTTTTTGGCTGATACACAAAAGCGATATGAAGCACTCCAAATATTTGTTTTTTGTTGTATATTTGCCTATTGTTTATTGAATTTACACTGTTCTACTTTATATATAGATTGATGGCATACAAACATAAAGAATACGGATATTGTATGTATAAAGTACTTCTGTATGCAAATGCACACATGCTATGCTATTTCAGACTTCTGTGTAAGATGGCTTAAGCAAGTTGTAATGTACGGATTGTTATATTCAAATGTCGCACAGTACGTTTATTATGTGTATGGCAAAAAAACAAATACAAGAGTCTAAGCAGTAAAGAGGGCCCAATCTGTTCAGTACCCACCTGCATACTCATAAAACCAAGCCAGGCACTTTTTGCTTGAAAACAAGTCTTCATTTATTATTCTACTGGCTGTCTGTGTCCTGCAATAGCTGTGGGGAGAAAAAAAATACATTAAAAGATTTGATAGACAGATAAAGCACATGAATAAGGGGGCTCTCAAACTAGACCTCAGACACAGTAAAAACAATGCAGTCTGAGAAGATTTCTAAGGGTCAATGAGCTGTGCCCTGTAGATATGGTTTACACACTCTTCTTCTATGAAGACATTTTGAACAAATCTAACTGGCTTTATTTTTCCCTGTGGATGAATGGATCTGTTCACACAGCAGAACATACTCTAAGGGTGCTGCTGCTGATGCATTGCAGCATCAGAACAATCATCCAAGCTACAGTTGTTTACCCCTTCCTGTCCATAATATGCATCTGTGGATACATTAAAGTAGAATTCCAGAATAAATCTGACTAGTTTTAAAAAATGCCTCCAAACCTATACAGACCTGTGTATACATACCTATGTTTAGCCTGCTCTGTTCTGTTACAGGATTCGTCTCCCGTGTCAGTCAGCGATGGCTGCAGGGGAGAAGATAGAGCACAGACAACGGATGGGCCAAGGAAGCCTATGGGGTGATGTCACCACTCCATGCTTTACCAACTGTTGTTGAGTGCTCTTTTTCCCCTGCAGCCTCAACAGGCTGATACAGGGGATCACATGACCGGTCTGAAGTGGGCTGAAAATAAGTAAGTATATACATCTTTCTTACACAGGTTAGTCAGCATAGGTGTTGGGAGGGGGGTGGAGAGCACGAGAGCATTTTTAAGACTCCATTTGAGGGCTAAAAGCTGACACTTTGCGAAGCTGGTGTCTTCATTTATCCTGGTTGTCACTTCCAGGCCCCACTGATGACCAGGAACAGACTGGTTTCCAATCATGTTATCATGGTTAGATATGACCATAAGTACATAAAGGCTAGAGGCTTTATTTATCTAATGAGCTTTAAGTCTTAAAATGCAATTGAAGCCTAAGCTCGTTCACACCAGTGGCTGCGTTATACCATGGGGTGTGAGTTTGCGCTGTGAGGGGAGTGGTGCAAATGCCTTATAATGACGCATCAAATAGCTTACTTTATCCATACATGGATCGAAATTCGGCCAGATGAGCAGAAAACCGGCAGAATTTTTATATTTGTATAGGCAGGGTGGGTTGTTTAAAAGTCAATCTACCAATTGGCTATAACCTGCAGTGCTGATCACTGTATTCTGACAGTGGAAAGGCCCCCCCATCGACAGAATACAATAGCACAGCTGGGAGGATTCCTCTACCCACATTAAGTGTGTGGATGGGGTAATCAAGTCATTTTACATAGTTAGTCTGGCAGAAAAAAAAAAAAAAAAGTCCATCCAGTTCAACCATTGAAAAAAAAAAAAAAAAAAAAAGTTAGAATCCTCATGCAGTTGATCCAGAGGAAAACAAAAAACCCAGCAAAGCGTGATCCAAATGGCTCCTGCAGGGGAAAAAAATCCTTCCTGATCCCTAAGAGGTAAATCGGATATTCCCTGAACTGGTTACTAATATTACCTATAAATATTAGTAACCAGTTATATTCTGTGTATCCAAGAAAGAATCCAGGCCTTTTTTAAAGCAATCCACTGAGCTGGCCAGAACCAACCCCTTAATCTCATCTTCTAAAGAGAGAATAAATTCAGTTCCTCTAATCTTTCCTCATAGCTGATCTCCTTCATGCCTCGTATCAGTTTGGTTGCCCTTCTCTGTACTTTCTCCAGTTCCCCAATGTTCTTTTTGTGAATTGGTGCCCAAAAGTGAACTGTATATTCCAGATGAGGTATTACTAACAATTTGCACCCGGGTAATATGATATCTCTCTCTCTGGTGTCTTTACCACTTAATACAAGAGAGGATTTTACTCGCTTTAGAAACCGGAGCTGGCATTGCATGCCATTATTAAGCTTGTGATCTACCAGAACTCCCAGATCCTTCTCCACCATTGATTCCCCCAGTTTTGTACCCCCCCTAGTATGTATGATGCATGCATATTCTTACTTGTCAACATTTAAACCTCATTTGCCACATAGTTGCCCAATTAAAACAGTGCATTGAGGTCGGCTTGCAAATTGGAGACATCCTGTAAGGACATTATTCCACTGCACAGCTTGGTGTCATCTGCAAAGACTGAAACGGGATTTTTAATTTCAGACCCTATATAGTTTATAAATATAATAAAAAGTAAGGGTCCCAACACTGAACCTTGGGGTACCCCACTGACAACCCTAGACCATTCAGAGTATGAATCATTAACCACTACTCTCAGAATACAATATTTTAGCCAGTTCTCCATTTACATACGGATATTTCCAAGCCTGTAGACTTTACCTTACACATTAGCTGTGTGTGGGGAACTGTGTCAAATGCTTTTGCAAAATCCAAGTATACCACACCGACCACCACCCCTCTGTCCAAGTATACTACGTCCGCTGCACCCCTCTGTCCAAGGTTTTGCTCACCTCCTCATAAAAAGAAATCAGATTTGTTTGACAACTTCTGTCTTTCATGAATCCATGCTGTCTGTTGCTTAATTATTTTTTTCCAGCAAGAACTCATCTATGTGGTCTTTTATTAAACTCTCCAGTATCTTCCCAACTATAGAAGTTAAACTAACAGGTCTATAATTACTTGGTAAAGATTTGGACCCCTTTTTAAATATTGGCACCACATTGGCCTTACGCCAATCCAGTGGTACTATGCCAGTCATTAAAGAGTCCCTAAAAGAAACAATGGCTTTGAAATGACAGAGCTCAATTCTTTCAGGACCCGTGGGTGCATGCCATCCGGTCCAAGTGATTTATTCACCTTTTATTCTGTCTAAATATTTCTGGATCATATCAATTGTGAACCAATGTGGATCATCTGGAGCTGTGTCAATACCATGCCCATTATGGACAAGAGCTCCCCCATGCTCCTTTGTATACATAGAGCTGAAGAAGGTATTTAATAAATTTGCCTTCTCTTTGTCCCCAGTCACCCACTCTAGATTATTTTGTAAAGGTCTACATGCTCGAACTGGACCTTTTTACTATTAATATATTTGAAGAATGTTTTGGGGGTTGGTCCTGCTACCTTTTGCAATATGTCATTTGTTTTCAATTTTTGCGGCCTTTATTTCCTTTTTGCATATTCTGTTATATTCTTTGTAATGTTTTAAAGGATGATAGTGTTCCTTAATTTTCATATTTTATAAAAGCTCTTTTCTTATTATCTATAGTTTTCTTAAACTTTGGCTGTAAGCCGCATAGATTTTTAGCCTTTTAAAACTTGTTGCCCATGGGAATATTTTTTGCTCCCAGCAAATACCCCCACAAGAATGTTATTACAGTTACCTTGTAATTCTACATTTCTTCACATTCACTTCCTCGGCAGTGGATTTTCTCTTTTTTTTCACAGACATATTGTTATCAGATGAATATCGAAACACACTCTAGACACTGGGGAAAAAAAAAGCAATTATTGTGAGAGAATTAACAAGGTGGAGGAAAATATAAACTGTTGCATGTCCTGTCACTGCTGTGAAATACACGACCTAATGATGATCCAATGGAAGGCTCCATCATTTTTGCATGGATGCTAGAATGCTAAATGACATGCCAGAATTTAAAATGGCGAGATTCTTACACCTGCACATATATTGTGGCCGCTGTAAAGCATATTCATGTCTCCCATGATGGAGACTGCAAAATGTAAAATGAAAAAAAAAAAAAAAAAAAAAAAAAAAAGAATTTAGCTGCTGCCATGTAGAATGTGAAGGAAACAAACTACACCAGGAAAATCTTGCCACTGGTGACATAATTGATCAGATTTGGGTGGAATTGGTCACGAGAAAAAAAAAAAAAACCAATAAATACACAGACCTTGTGTTTAACCGCTTCACCTCTCACACCTGTTCACCCCTACAGACCAGAGCAATTTTTACAATTCTGCTATGGACATGTCTATTCGGCGATAACTGTCATTACTTAGATCACGTAATACTTATATCTTTTTTTTTTTCTTTTACAGTCTTTTTTCATAATGGTCTTACAACCTTTTTTTTTTTTTCCCCGCAATCCTTAGGACAATTACATGTAACAAAGCCAAACAAAATACACTTTTTTGTGACCAGTGTTAAATTAAAAAATAGTATGACTGCAGATAAAAAATTAAAAAAAATTCACATTTTTTTAATTTGTCCTGTTTAAAATGACACTAAAATTATCATTCTGATGCAAAGCATTACAAAGTTATTAACAAATTGTTTTTCTTTTTTAATTTTGCGCTTTGGGCTGGTCCACACCAGATGCAGTCCAGTGCGATTTTTTTTTCTGCATCAAAAATGCATGAACCAGAAACTGACTAGAACTGACTGTACTGCTGTGAACTAGGGTTCAGGGGTGGACTGACAACTCATGGGGCCCCCAGGCAATAGGGGATCATGGGGCCCTGTGCCCTTGCCTAAACTCAAAAAAGCCTATGAAAAAGGTACCCGGGGCATCTCATGGGGGCCCCTACTGACCATGGGCCCTCGGGCAGTGCCCAAGTTTCCAAATGGTCAGTCTGCCCCTGCTAGGGTTGTTTACACCAATACAGTCAGTTTCTGGTGCAGAAAAAAAAAAAAAAGAAAATGCTGAATTTCTTTCTACACAGAACTGTACCGGAACACAGAAAAAACACTCCCATAAATGCACCAGAATGAAGTGTGGTGTGAAATGTAAGTAAAAACTTATCCAGAAAGCATCTGGAGTGTGTTTTTGTGGTGTGAACTGACCCTATGTGAAAAGTGTAAATATATGTTAAAATGTGCAAAAGTTATTAACAAATCATAATTAAAAAAAAAAAAAAGTTTAAACATTTATGGATAATAAAATAGAAAAAAAAAAAAAAGTTAGCAGGAAAATAATAATTGAATGGATAAAGAGATCACTTCAGCTGATTAGCGCAAACTAAGGGTTAAAAAGGGGTTAAACAAAGATATTTTAATGAAAAAAACCCCGCAAAAAAACAATTTTTTTTTTTTTTTTACACTTGTCAGGTTGCTTTAACTGAAATCTGCAGATTGAAGTCTATCCCTGCGATCTGCAGATGAATGAACAGAATAGATACAAAAGTAACAATATGTATCTTTATATAGGATCAAGGCACATTGTTGATAAACATTGCCTGACTGCTATTTTTATTTCTTTATTTCACCAGCTGCAGCTTCTCAGACCTTCTCTATGCACACATTAACCACTTCTATACCGGGCACTTTTACCCCCTTCCTGCCCAGGCCAATTTTCAGGTTTCATCGCTGCCACACTTTAAATGACAATTGCGCGGTCATACAACATTGTACACAAGCTAAAATGTTATCATTTTCTTCACACAACTAGAGCTTTCTTTTGGTGGTCTTTAGTCACTGCTGGGGTTTTTAGGTTTTGCTAAATTAAAAAAAAAAAAATATATAGAAAAAACCCCCACGTTTCTTTGTTTCTGTTATAAAAGTTTGCAAATAAATAGTTCTTTATAAATTTAGGCCAAGATGTATTCTGCTACATGTCTTTGTGAAAATAACCCAAATCAGTATTTATTTAGTTTGTAGGAAAGTTATAGAGTTCACAAACTATGGGATATATCTGAATATTGATCAATCCTGAAGTACTGACGGCCAATCTAATTTCTTGAGGTTTAAGAATGTCAGAACAGTACAGATATCCTCCAAATGACCCCTTTTTGCAGAGTAGCCAGTCCGACGTATTTCATAAAAGGCATGGCAAGTTTTTTGAAGCTGTAATTTTTTGTCGGGTACGGCTAATCACATGACACAGTTGGGCAGTGATTGGCCCAGCTTGCGTATGTGATCGCTGTGACCATTCACAGCTAGACACGCTTGTATACAATGAATGGCATGAAAGGAAGCCATCCAGTGTATACAATTGCCATGTGACCTGCAGTGATTGGTCACATTAGGTCACATGCTACTGGCAACGGGGCCAGTACACAGATCTGTCATCGGCCATGTCCGAGGTACACGGCCGGTGACAGATCTCGCTACAGTGCAGCCCTGTGGGCACGCGCAATGAACATTCCGGAAAGGATGCCATATGGTATCCACCCGGAGGGATGAGCTGCTCGCCCGGCCGCCATTCCTAGATTGTAAGCTCCAAGGAGCAGGGCCTTCAAATCCCTCTTGTTATTGAACTGTATCATTGCTGTATTGTCTCCCGTTATATTGTAAAGCGCTGAGCAAACTGTTGGCGCTATATAAATCCTGTGTAATAATAATCTGGCTATAGGCCAGGCGGCAACTGGTTAATCTGGCCTTAATATGCAGAGCCGAATCGCTGTGTATTGGGAGAGGAGAGCAGGGCAGAAACGTTCACATCCTGTGTACAATGACCATTTTTTTGAAGTGTGTAGCATGTCCAAAGTCTGGAACTAGTTAAATCACAACTCCTGGAAATATATAATCCATACCACTGCTCTGCCTCCTCTATGGGGTAAAAGGGCCACCACTGTAAGAATATTATTCGGAATAGGAATTTCACAAACTTATTGATATTTTCCTCCACAATTACATGTCCACCAAACTGTACAGGGATTGGGACAATACAACACACACCCTGAAAATCATTAACAGGCTCATGAATACTCTGAAATCTGTCTTGGGGGTGTGTGACAAAATGATCAGCCATAACATTAGGACGACCCAGATAATTAGGTGTAGGTATCTCTTTTGCAGCCAAAAGACCCTGATCTGTCAAGGCATGGATGCCACTGAACTTCTGAAGGTATGCTGTGGTATCTGGCACCAAGCCACCAGTAGCAGATCCTTTAAGTCCTGTATGTTGCATGGTGGGGCCTCCATGGACTGGACTTCCCATTCATCCTGGTGCCATCTATGCACCTGTCCATCCACATGATGTAAATGAAAACCTTCTTCCATTGCTCTGTGGTCCAGTTCTGATGCTCATGTGCCCCTTGCAAGCACTTTTGGCTGTGGACACGTAATTAACAGGTAATAAAACTATACTACAGGGTAAAAAAACGGAGAAAAACTGTAGTCCTAATGCTAGTGAAAGTCGACATCGTACACATCAATTTTGATCTTGCCCATACATTAACAATATTTAAAGTGGATTGTGGGGTAGCCCTAACTACTCCTAAATCGGTCTCCTCTTCCCTCCTAACACCTATGCTTACTAACCTGAGTAAGAACGATATGTATACTTCCCTTATTTTCAGGCCACTGCAGTCTGGTAACACAAACCCCAGTGTCAGCCAGCGGCTGCTGCAGGGGAGAGCACTCTGACAACAGCTAGTAAAGCCTGGAGTGGTGACATCATCCATAGAATTCAATGACCTGTCTGTTGCTGGCACAACCTCCTCTATTCTGCAGTGTACTGACTGATACAGGGGAGCGGGTTAGATTTCTTGGCTGAAAAGGAGAGGAGGGTTTAGTTCTGCTTGAAGCTTGCAAGACACTATACAATCTGATTGTACAATCTCCTTCTGATCTAAAAACAATTCTGTAGTGCAAGGGCCTGCATGATTGGAGAGATTAGGTGGATCCTCTTATTACAGTTCTGGTAAATCTAAAGGAGATTGTACAGTGTATGACATCCTTCAGGGCCAGGACACACTACGAGTTTCATTTGTGTTATTTCTGTATCCAAAGCGCACAGAAAGTAGTTTATGTGGTTTTCAATGCCATAGTTCACATCAGTGCTTGCAGTTCCAGCGCATTCCGGGAGCAGGAAAAAAAAGTAGAACAGGCTGAATTGTTTCTATACAGAACTGTACTGGAACGCGGTAAAACACATCGGAACACACTGGAAAGCATGTCCCTATTTAATCTGAAGAAAAAGAGGAGAAAAAAATGAACTGGAATGCCTCAAAAACGCACCAGAACGCGCCAAAAACACGCATGCAAAAAAAGCATCCGGAACGCATCTGGACTGAGTTTCTATAGTGTAGCCAAGGAAGCTGCCATCTTGGCCTCTGATCTGCACTCGTCATGGTGCTGCACATGTGATCAGTTATGACACCAGACATTTGATGGTTTGACAGTTTGGCTGAGAGCACAAGCAACTGTGACAGTTACCATTCCTGGATTGTGACTGTTTTTTAAAACTTAAATTGATGGGTTTAGTTCCGCTTCAAGAGTCATGTAGGAATGGCAATCAATTTGTTGGTGACAGCCAGTGTCAGGATTGTTATGAGGATTACGCATTGCATTCCATGCCTTGCCCCCCCCTCGCCTCCTTCCACATCTATACACCCCCTTACTGGTCACCATTTCCACAACTCACCCCCCACCACGTCCCCCGCCGTCGCCTCCTTCCACGCCTCATCCCCCCTCTCCGCCTTCCAGGCCTCTCCACACCTCCCTCCGCCCTTGCCGCCTAACAAACACCCCCTCATCGCATTCCACCC